ATGAGGAGGGGGGAGGGGGAAAGCAGAGGAAAGAGAGGGAGAAATGGTGTTGCTAACATTTGCGCACGTCAACGTGCGCGCGAATTTGCATTGAATCGAGGGCTTGGCACAGCAGCGTGGGTCGGGTATATGAGCACCTTCGTCAAGGACCCAAAGTCCCATGCAGCTGCCTCAAGCAGTAACATCCGAAGGTTCATAATCCAGACACGATGAATAAGCATACACGCACCAACATTCAAGTTATTCTTAACCCTCGTGACTGCACGTGTGCGAGGACATGCCTTTCTCTCGGTGCCGACGAGCATGCGCGCTTGTGAAGGCAAAGCCAGGGCGAGGATAAAGTCTGGCGAGAATGAATCGAGAATCCCTGAGATCTGGCGTCTTTGGAGGATGTTTCGTGCGCCGCGGCCTTCCCAGAGCGCTTCAGAGCGCTCTGAGAGCATTCTGGGACGCTCTGAAACGGATTTATCCTCATTCTAGCCCCGTCCGGCTTGTTCCTACTATGCGCATTTGTGCACATGATCGTTCCCTGAAAACGTGTCTGGGGAAACCAACAAGTACTGATACCGCCACTCCCCAGACCTCGCCAGGGGTGCGTCATGACCAGGATTTCGAAGCGAATCCAGCGGTGGCGACGAGGGCCGCCCAGGAGGCCCAAAAAATTGGAAAACGAGGCGAGTGTATCGGTACGGTTGATGGACAAAATCCTGCACCTTTTTTGACTTTTTTTTTCCGCCCCCCGCGCCCCCAATTTACTATTGGCAGGCCGTGGCGCGATTTGCTGATCCGCCGACTGGCCCAAGTCCTGCACCCCGCGGGCGCAGCCAATCAACATTGAATCGGGGGCAGGGGGGCGCGTGGAAGTTTGCGCCGTCGCCCCGGTTTCGCGGCTGGTGCAGGATTTTGCCCATCAACCGTATCGGTACCTTTTCCTCCTCTGACTGCCTGGCAAAAAATCCCACACACTTGTGCTGAGGGCAGGCGTGGACGAATATGCGAGGCCGGTGTCGGTGACCCGTGGTCTCTCTCTCTCCCGTAGGGTCTCCCGTGCGGTTTTTCCCGTCCCGTGCATGATCTCCAGCATGGTCTCCCGGATGCGGTGGGGGCGTTGGATAAGGAACCCTTAGATAAGGACTCCAGGGTCTGGGAACCGGTGGAACTCCAATCGAGGCTTGGCCATGGATGTCACCGCCGCCTTCATCAGATGAGGAACCCTCCAGGGTCTGCAGCCTCCTGGGCACATTCCTTAACCAACGCCCCCACCGCATTTTCTCATGAGCCACCGACGGAATGAGGGGCTCTGTTGCCTCCTCGGGGGACCTCGTCTGTCCCGTCGCGGCCCTATCCGCGTCGAATCCGTGCCGAATGCATGTCGGACTCGTCGGATCCGTGTCGAGCCCGTGTCGAGCCCGTGTCGACTCCGCGTCGGATCCACGCCAAATCCGCGCCGAGTGCGCATCGAGCCCGCGTCGGGCACAAGAGAAGACACCAGTTTGGGGGACAGGCGAGGTCTCAACGTAACCACCCCTCCCACGGACACGCTGCATGGGGAGCAGGGCGCGGTGGCATCCGGCAAGAACCACTGAAGAAACGAGTCCGCCCTCGTGCTGGCGTGCTGGCGTTGCCCCCACAAGCAGTGACGACACACGCTGTCTTCAGAATCAGTCAGCCTCAAGCGTACAGCAAAGGGTGCTCGGCCAGGGCCACTCGGACACGATTCACTCGGACACGAGCCACCGGCCTGTGGAGTCCGCAGCCACCTCCTCATCCGCCACCGCGGAGAGAACAGAACTGTTGACATCATGAGCTGCGTAGACAGAGTCGGCCCAACAAGACTAAAACCGACTGCTTGCCACAAAGCAGTACTCACATACAGATGCTGTGCCCATGCGAATTTCCCAGCTGGAATCCGATGACATGTGGTGGCAATGCTGTTTGGGAGCCCAACTGTTTCCATGCTACCCCTTTGCACCTGGATGAGCTACGCTGTCAAAGGCCTGAACCATATTCATGCGATCTCCACTGAAAAACTCCAGAACCATTGCTGTGTGCGCTTGCTCACATGGAGGCCTTGTTGCGGCAAAGCTTGCAAGACCAGAGCGCACAGGGGAACTAAGCCGATGGCGTTGCACCTTCTTCATCATCTGCTGCACCGAACGCTGTGGTGACTGGTCCTGAAACGACACCGACGCAGTGACAGTCTCCGCGTCGCCATCATGGGCTCGATGAGATTGGAGAAGCGGTCGCCTTACACTAGGCCATCAAGTTCGATCGAATTTCTTGCAAGGGCGCGTATTGCGATCAGAATTCATCAAAACGGATCCCATCATATGGATCTGTGACAGAGATCTGCTGCGATGCATGTTTCGTCATCAGACTGCTCGCTGCAACGAGTCTGCGTAAACACACAATCTACCAATATCATGCCCCAGAACGATCAGCAATATAAGGGCCGCGCCGGTCGCTGTTAACTGGACTGCCCGGGGGGGTGGAGATATCACTCATGCTTGCAGGGCGTCTGTGCCGAAACAGCTCCGCACAACGGCCCGAATAGATCAAATGCTGTCCCGCGGTTTCGCGAG